TGGGTTTGAACCACCAGCCTTCTGGTTAGCAGTCAAGTGCCTTAGGCACTACACCACCAGAGCTCCTACAAGCTGTTAAAAATTGCAAAACTCCATCTCTGGTGTTTTTTACAGTACACCACACTTGGAGCTGGCACCAGAGAGTCTAATGAGAAAACATGTACCTATAACTACACCCAAAAGAAGACCTGTGTACAATTCATTGTTGTGTTATGCTGTTGTTATGTGCTGTCAAGTCGGACCCGACTCATAGCCACCCCTCCTTGGGTTACCGAGGCAGTATCACTACGGAGGTAGATTGCCCCATCTTCCTTCCGAGGAGTTGCTGGTGGGTTTGACCCACCAGCCCTCTGGTTAGCAGTCCAGTGCCTTAGGCACTATGCTACCAGAGCTCCCGTACAATTCATTAGAGGCAAAAAATAACAAGATCTGTTCCTTCAAAGAGCAGCAAAGTAGTGATGTCACTGAAGTGGAGTGATCGTCCATGGGAGCTGATTATACTCTTCATTTTTGTGGTGTTTGGAAATTTTAATAATAAGATATAAAAAAAGTATTCAGAAAATCTTTGTTCCTCTCATTGCAAAGAAAACCTAGTCTGGTTTATTTCTGGTGTTAGAGATTTGTATGTTACAGGGATGCATAGTGGCGTGGCTGGGAGCAGGGCACCAGGGTCACAGCTGCAAGCCGGCATTTTCAAAACCAAAAGGTCCAGTCCGCGCCAGCACCCACTCCCAAAGCCTGCTGCACTGTTGCCTGGGTGCCCAATGCCCAGTTGTCAGGCCCACCCCTCAGAACGGTGTCTGCACAGCTGTGTCTTCGGGTGACAGCCTACTCTTTGAAAATGTAGCAAAACTCAACAAAAGTGGAACATGGTCTCCACAAGGCTTACTTCTGTCCTGCTGGGTGAGAGGCATCGAAAAAAACAAGCAGTAAGGACCACAGTGGTGAAAACCTTAGCAAGGAACCTCCATCTCTGAGCAAATCACCAATCTCAAGATGAAGTTAAAAAGAAGAAACTCAAACCTTATCATGTTGGCAACCACCTGTACCACTATCAGCACTGAGCCTGAGGTTTCTAGTTTCGGCTCCGACATTACATTTTCAAGGTACTAGAACCATTCAAAATCAGCTATTCGCAAATTCAAGTCTGAATAACAATATGGAGATAGGAAACCCTATGTGAAGAAAGGGGAAGGAGAAACATTTGGGTTCTTCTGTGACGAAGAAAGAAGGATTTACACACGAGCTAACAGTTTCTCTTTGTGCCCTGATATGAAAAAGGCTGGCAGCTCTGCCTTTGAACACCTGCCGAGGAGAGGCCACCCCCACTCACCCAGTGCAGGGAGCCCATGCACAGCTTCGCGGCGAGGAGCGGGATGGTGGCATCGTCGGGCTTCAGACGAATACACTCTTTCAACACCTTCACAGCACGTGCGGACTTGTCAAGAGAAGATCATCTCTGTGAAACTCAAAGCTTCTGGCAGAACCAAACATTAATGCCTTCCAGAGGAGATTTGGGGAGGGTGCCCTCTTCATGAGGTGTTTCAAGTCTGAGCCCAATCAGAAGCCTGTGGACAGCTATGACCAGAGTCTGGGGCTCCTGAGTGACAGGGGAGCATCCCGTGGTTAAACAAGCAGAGTGCTTCTCTGGCTTCACCCTAATTTTATCCCCCACTTTTATAGCCATCATAAAAGTAAGAAAAAAAAAAAAAATGACCCTTGAGGCAGATGTTAAAATATAAAATATTCAACTTAAATGTTGAAGACTAACATTTTGATTCTACTCAGTGTAAGTAATCTTCCAGTTAGACCTAACAACCCACTGAATGGCAGAGAGTCACTAAATAGCCCAAACGAACAGGAGTACCAACAGGCTACTCCCTTTATTGACAGTGTGCTATGTGGTGGGTGTTATTCCAAGCACCTTATGCATAACCCCTCATCTACCTGACAGCAATTCTACGAAGTAGGTACCATTATCACTCCCTTTTACAGAAGAAGAAACTGGGATACCAAGTAACATGGCCTGGGTCACACAGTTATGATGGGAAGTACCAGGATGCACCTCCAGCCTGGGGTTCCACAACCCAGGCATTCAACCAATATCATATTCTGCCTAATATAACTGAGTGTGGAAGAAAATGGACAGATCTCCCTCTCAAGAATGAACTTACACTCTCACATGAATGAAGGGATCAGTGTGAAGAACTGGCCATAGCTAAGCCATATCCTCTTCACATGATAAGGTTACAATGGCCAAAAAAGGGGCAAATTCAACAGAATTTTCCTTCTTAACATATATTCTTGTTGGTCCCCCAAAATTAAAATGGCTAGTCAGTTTACTTGATTGTTCATTTAGAAATGGCCACAAGACAGTTTAAAATAGTTGGTTTAGATGTCCACATTATTCCATCCCATGAAATGCAATTACATTAACCATGACATAGAGACCTGCACATGACAAAGGACAACTCACTTTTCCAGCAGCCATCAGTGACAGGGCAAACTGGTACCAGAGGTGGAACTCCTCAAAGGCAAACTTCATGGCTCTTTCTAAGCACTGGTTTGGAAAGAAGAACAAACACAGGCATCTGAGAAATTCAAGGGTCACAACTGGACAAGTGTGAGCTTGTGTCTACACACACACAAAGATGAATCCTATAAAAGCTGGTTCCCTAGGATATTAAGACATCATCTTCCACCAAACACCTCCTGGAGTAGCCACCGGGTACAGTGTACCTTGCCAGAGGCCAGTGACTAAGACACAATCTTTGGTCTCAGGTAGCTTCTAATCTAGTCCATACAAAGAAGTAGGTACACAATTAAAATATAAGGCCAAGACTACAAGTGCCATGGAGAGGGAAACAGAAAGCACCATGAAGAACGGATCCTAGAAGAGTGGTCATGAGCTAAACCAAAAAAACCCCAAACTCATAGCCGTCGAATTGGTACTGACTCATAGAGATGCCTCCTTGGGTTTGCAAGGCAGTATCTCTATGGAAGTAGATTGCCCAGTCTTCCTTCTGAGGAGTGGTTGGTGGGTCTGGTTAGCAGTCAAATGCCTTGAGCTGGATGTGACAAATGAGCGGAGATAACACAACCTTGACATGGAAATGGCACCTGAGACGAGGAGAGAGACAAACAGAGCCGTGGAGGTATGGAAAGCTACGCTTTGGTTTGGCAAGTGGTCCTGTGCGAGCAGGCCTGGGCACACAGGCCGGAGTGTGGAGTCAGGCTAGAGCACTGGCATAGCCAGGGCTAAGTCACCAAGAGTGAAATGTCAGCTTCTTCTCAGAGTTGTTTCATCTCCCTCCCCCACTCTAGTTTTGGTTGCCCCTCCTCTGAGCTCCTTTAGTTCTTACCACTGTATCTGTACGTCCATGTGACTGCTCTCATCTCCCTGCCCCAGCCCAGCCCACTCTAAAAAAGCATCAAGTAAGAAATCATGACTTCTTTCTTCTTTGTCACCTAAGTGTTCCACAGTATCTCCCCATGGGTGGTAATCTACAAGTGTTGGTTAGGTTTGGACTTCACTCTCAGTCAAACCGTGACTTCTGTGCAGAATGACATGATCACATCAGAGCTTCTGGAAGGTTATGGGGGTTTGGTTTAGGGGTAAGACCACATGGGGGGGCAAGTGACAAATAAGGTGGATAGAATGGTCCAAGGGCTTAGAGTAAGCTGAAAGCCATAAAAGCAGATAAAATGAAAGGGATTGAACCAAGAAATGAGTCTGAGGTAGAATCAACAAGATTAGGCTGTCCCAGGAAGTGGGGCCGCTGAGGAGCAGAGGTTGAACGAGGTCCCTAAAGTCCCTGGCCTGCCCACCTAGGAGCAAACTCATGGCAAAGAAGGCTCCTGTGTACATGCATGTGCACATGCACATGCGTGTATATGTGTGTGAGAGACAGAGAGAGAAGGAGAAGAAGAAGAAAAGTATTGTTAATGAGTTTACTTTGGAACATGGTGGGTTTAAGGTGTCATGTGGTGATGTACAGAAGACAATTAAAGACCATCCTGGACCTAAAAGGAAGGTCTAGACAGACAAGGGGGCACATACGAGAAGGGTGTTGACATCACCGGCAAGGTGAGAACACCTCAGGAGAGTATTCAGAGAGCAGGCAGCTGGAGCAGAACTTTGAGAAATGCCGTATTTAAGGCGAAGGGGGAGAAAGGACCAGGGAAGAGCACTGAGGCGGGAGGCGGGTGGGGAGAGGGTGCAGCAGCGTCACAGCTTTGAAAGGGTCTCAGGAAGAGGAGGTAGTAACGTCAAAAGCAGCGAAGGCCCAAGGCCACCTGGTGTAGCAAGCAGGCACTTAAGGTCTGTGCACGTAGTCTGGGGCATGTTGCATAGGGTGCCAGGCCATGGTGGCTGGAGGAGCAGGGAGAAGATGAAGATGAGTAGTGAAGGGAATGGTGATACTCAGCAAAGGCTTGTGGGGCAGAAGGGGACTGAGAGGCTCTTCATCTGTACCACTGCTGGGCACGCAGGAGGGATTCACCAACGGCTTCGTATTCACTTATTTTCTTCATGGAGGAAACTTGAGCATCTCCCCAATGTGAGAGGAAGAAGCCAGCAGAGGAGCAGAAACTGAGGAGATAAGTTAGGTCCCAGACGGCTACTGAGAGCAGGTCTCTGGAGCAACAGCCCCCCCTAAGGAAGGAGATTCCTTAAGGTAAAGAGCAAAGACCACAGAAAAGATTTACACAACAAGAAAAACCTCACCCCCAGGGGGCAGAACAATCATATCAGGGCCAACTCAGAGACTGGTATGGCTGTGCAGTGGCACCTACAATGCCAGGATGCCATTTTACTCTAGTGATGTTCACGGCCCAGGTGCCGAGGAGAATGATGGATGGAATGATGGATGGGAAAGCAGGGAGGGACAGGGATCTGGGGGCCGACAGACAAAGTTGGGGGGCACAACATGGAGGTCACAATCAAAGTAAAGTGAGGTGGTTGAAGGACAGGAAAGAATTGCAGAATTTTAAATGGTATTTACAGAGGTCACAAGTGCTAGCTGGTTTACTGTGAAATTCTGCCTAATTAAGATATAGTACACTAAAAAGCTAAGTATGAAGCTGTGAACGAACATGCACTATGTGCCCAGCAATGCTATAGGACAGGACGAGTATGCCAAGACCCCGAGTAAGACGAACTCTTGGTCTCTGATTTTGATCACCAGCTGAAAAATTCTGGGTGGCTCTGTTCTCACAATGAGAAGTGTTAGGTGGGGCCTCCAGGGAAGCTCTCAATTAGCACATGCTTTTGCCCTCAGTCCTGCCAAGGACAGACTCAATGCTGGAGGTGGAGCAGCCAGGTGACAAGCTTGAGGACAAAAGCCACCCACTCGAATGACTACGCAGAAAGAGAAAGCCTCCAGGTCCCTGATGCTATGTGGCAGTGGGGCAACCCCACCAGCCTTGGATGGCTGCCTCTTACCAGATCTGTGACAGTGGGGGGTGGATTTTTGTTGTTATGTGCCTTCGAGTCAGCCCTGACTCATAGCGACCCCTCCTTGGGTTTCCGAGGCAGTATCACTACAGAAGTAGGATTGCCCAACCTTACTTCCGAGGAGTGGCTGGTGGGTTTGAACCACCAGCCTTCTGGTTAGCAGTCAAGTGCCTTAGGTACTATGCTACCAGAGCTCCTTGTGGGGGGTGGAGGTGGGGTACAAATAAACTCTTGTTTGGTTAGGCCACTGTAAGTTGGTTGTTCATTACAGCTGAATACTAATACACATAGGAAGTGGCCAAGCTGGGATCTGAACCTAAGTACACCTGACTCCAAAGCCCTCTTAAATGCTCTGCTGTACTGATAAGCAACAAGAAGCCATTAACACATTGCTGTCTACTTGATTCTATCTCATGGCGACCCTGTGGGGCTGAGGAGAACGCTGCTTAACCACTGTACCACCAGGGCTCTTTAAGAAGCCATTACTGTGCCTTTAACAAGTGCAGTGAAAATAATCAGAAAACGGCTTGCTGCAAAGATAAAGTAGGCAGAAGGGGTGGGATGGGGGCAGGGGTGGAGGTGGTGATCCAGATATGAGATGGCACGGACTGGGACCAGGGGAGGGGAGAACAGATGTTGGGAGAAGCCAACAGTACTTGGAAACTAATGTAGAGGAAGGCGGATGGGGCATTATGAAGAAGGAAATAAGAACGTGCACTCCATTGTCTGGATTTGGGCGAGGGAGCTGGTGTGCGAGAGAAGGGGGTGGATGATGATTGAAAGGAGGTTTGTTCTACTGAAGGGCAGTGTATACACAGGGAGACAGCTCAGGGGGTGGGAGTGCATGGGAAGGAAGAACACATGGAAGAGATAACTAGGGGAGGAAGTGGGAAGAGAGCTGTTACATTGTGGGAAACTGCAGTCAACGTCATGACACAAAATGTATATGAAATGCTCTATGGAAAATGAATTTGCTCTGTAAACTTGTACCCCAATGACAATAAAAACTAAAAAAAAAAAAAAAAAAAGGTTTATTCTAACAGCTCTACTCAACTAGCTCATGATAATATAACCACGAAGTACCTAAATATATACACAGAAACATTTAAGTGTTTAAAGCACTTTCTTCCTCCTTTTGCTAAGAGGAATGATAAATATCAACTGTTTTCCTGATAAACAAAAGGAGCTCAGTAGCTGAAACAGTCTGTTCTGAATCAAAAAGCTAGCTGCTATAAATAAGTGTGAATCCTTATTTTCTTCTGTGCCAATGGCTAACACAGTCATCACAGTCAGTGAAAAACATCTCCTGGAAGCCTAATTGGTATAGAGCTCTCCATCCAGGTGCCGTGGGAAAGCACCAAAGGAAGACAGCCCCAGCCCTCAGAAGGACTGGAATCACAGGCACTTGAGCCAGGAGCGAAGCCTCCAAAGGAGAGGCCAGCTGTCACTCCGACTGCCTGTTACTGTTCTGAGCTAGCACTAAGTCAGCCCCGACTCACGCTGACCCTGTGCAACAGGGCTGGACAGCTGAGGGCCGTTCATCGGCTGATCTTTCAGAAGCAGACCCCTGGGCTTTTTGCTTCCTCGTCCACCTTAGCCTGGAAGCTCTGCTGAGACCTGTGCAGCATCACAGAGACACCCAATGCTCCACTGACAGATGTGCAGTAGCTGCACTTGGGGTGCACTTGTAGAGAACCGAACTTGGTTCTCTTTCTTGCATGAATGGTAAGATCTACCACCGAGCTACCAATGACCACTTGACCACCTGCTTTTTTGTTGGTTGCCGCAGAGTCAGCTCCTACGCATGGTGACCTTACATGGGGCAGAATGAAGTGTTGCCGGTGCTGCGCCATGTTCAGGGGCACTGGTATATGTGAGTCCATTGCTGAGACGACTGTGTCAATCTATCTCATGGATGGGTCCCTAGTTTTCACCGACCTTCTACTTTCTCATTGGACTGCCTAGCACCTCAAACTCTTCTGCTTTTCTTGGAGGTTTGGTACCCCAGACAGAAGGGAATAAGTCTCTCTGCTTCCCAATAATAAAGCCTAAGGGTGAATGAGGGAAGCATGTGTGTCACATGGCCCTGGCAAGGCCAATCAGAT